ACAAGTGCCTTACTAGTAGTAACAAGAAGCTATTAGTAACAAGTGCCACGCTAGTAGTAACAAGTGCCTTACTAGTAGTAACAAGAAGCTACTAGGGGCTCCTGGCCTTACTAGCAGTAACAAGAAGCTACTAGAAACAAGTGCGTCGCTTCCAGTAACAAGTGCCTTACTAGTAGTAACAAGAAGCTACTAGAAACAAGTGCATCGCTTCTAGTAACAAGTGCCTTACTAGTAGTAAACAAGAAGCTACTAGAAACAAGTGCATCGCTTCTAGTAACAAGTGCCTTACTAGTAGTAACACAATGCTACTAGAAACAAGTGCATCGCTTCTAGTAACAAGTGCCTTACTAGTAGTAACAAGAAGCTACTAGAAACAAGTGCATCGCTTCTAGTAACAAGTGCCTTACTAGTAGTAACAAGAAGCTACTAGAAACAAGTGCATCGCTTCTAGTAACAAGTGCCTTACTAGTAGTAACAAGAAGCTACTAGAAACAAGTGCATGGCTTCTAGTAACAAGTGCCTTACTAGTAGTAACAAGAAGCTACTAGAAACAAGTGCATCGCTTCCAGTAACAAGTGCCTTACTAGTAGTTTTTTGTTGTCACCTTGGTCAGCCATGTCAGACTCATGGAGGAATCACCGATGCTTCGGCACAGAGGCATGTTTACTTTACTTGTGAGTCTGATGTGACTAAATCGCGTGTGACAGTCCAATATCAATATCGCTAGTACTAGTCATTACGGGGTCATTACGTCTTGGTGCTCATTGTTCGAACACAATTTTGCAATTTGCGGGTGTGCGACGAATCGTTGCCGAGCAGACTGTAATTACGCTTTAATCTCGGTAAGCTCAGGAGTTTTATTCTCAATTTCAACCATCATTAATTTGCTTTGTTCTTCATATGCTATTGAAATAGAGGATGCCACACAGAAAATCTGAAAAATCATTGTCACTGTGTAAGTGTGTGTTTCAAATGCTGTTCTTGGGCAACTGCCTGATCCATTTCCACAACTAAACTTGGACATCCCCAGAGCGGGGGCGGGGCAGCAGCCAGATGTGCCAGGCTTCTTTGAGGGCCTTCGTGTCACATACCAATGTAGTCCAGGCTATGGAGGCTGTCAGCAGGGGTCCAAACGTTGGAAGGCTTGGGAGTAACAAGTGCCTTTACTAGTAGTAACAAGTGCCACGCTACTAGTAACAAGTGCCTTACTACTAGTAACAAAAAGCTATTAGAAACAAGTGCCTTACTAGTAGTAACAAAAAGCTATTAGAAACAAGTGCCACGCTAGTAGTAACAAGTTGCAGTCAGTTGCTTCAGTCCTTGGGTTTCTTGCTCCGTGTCACACAACTTTGGTTGGGAAATCAGCTAGAGCGGTCTGGCAGAGTCTCATATGTGTGATGGATCACTCCGTGTTTCACATATGTTTTATGTCGCTTGGATTCGCTTGGGGATCTTTCTGGAACTTGTTCTGGCTGCCTGACTGCACCCAAAGGTACACTCATTGCTACCTGTCGCGAGGATGGGAATTTCAGCAACCTGGTCAGCAGAAGCTTTGATTGCCCATCAAGAGATCGATGACATTGTCCATGAGTTTGAAACGAGCAGAGTGAATGCAGTTGGTGAAGCTGATGCAAGAATGAAGGCTAACACATGCTGACACTATAAGGTGTTTGACTGCAGAGGACCCAGATGCTTATATGATTGTTACAATAGATATTTAGATGACCCAGATACTTATATGATTGTTATAATATATATTTGTACCTTTATGTTCATATTGTTCCAAGTCATGGGTGGTTGCTTATTCAACAGTATTTTTTTTGCTGGTTAAACCTCTTTAACGCCTTAGCCCTTTCCCCTGAACATTAGTAGCGCTTTCTCAGTGTCACGCAGGGTAGGCCAGTACCAATATAGAAAAGCTTTTTGTATGTTCACCCAGGTTTCCAAGAGCAGTATGATTAAATATTGGGACACAACTGCAAGTTCTCAACGGTTTGACCACTGGCATGATTGGCTGAAGGTGTGGAGGGTGGCTGTAAATTACGATGTGGTGGTTTGGAATCCTTCCTGGAGAAGCAGTTTGGAGTCTTTTGGAAGGATGCAAAGGGCTCATAACCTGTTTGCTTGCAGGCATTATTTATATTTCTGGGCGCCAGCCTTCCTGTAATACACTCCTCACGTTACTCTTGACAAATGCTCCCGGTCGCAAATACCCTAAACCCAAGACTGCTGTAAAGGCTCAAGACTGCATGTTTACACTAGTAGTAACAAGAAGCTAGTAGTAACAAGTGCCACGCTAGTAGTAACAAGTGCCTTACTAGTAGTATCAAACCGCTGAAACCGCTAAGTTCGGTCCTTTCTCCGCGATCGCCAGGACGACCTGAGCACCAACCAGTCTGGAACGCTGGACTTCACCGGCACTGGCGAGGCGGACCCAAGCGAGCGGGACAGAAAACTCTGAGGTCTAACTTGTGTTCACAATCTCTCAAAGCATCAGGCACAGGGCACAGGACATAAAGATGTAAAGAGTGCAAGTGACATTAGTAAATCATTAGTATACATTAGTGGCATAAGTGATAATTAAGGCAAACTTGGCTAACGAAACAGTTGAATGTTGCTGTGAAGTGCTGGAGTGCTTGCAATCCTGTGTCCTATGTGTGTTCATCAAGCAATGTACGCACGAATGTGTAGGACCCTTGCTACAAACGTGGGTCACAAACTGGAGATTGCGCAGTATCGCATCAAAAGGACAATCATCGCCAGGCTGAATGTTGGAAATCTTGAAACACATAAAACAATGTTGTCTCTCACAGAGGAAAACAGGATTACACGTTTGATGTTTGGCGATCCACCAAAACTTTCTAATTGATATCAAGTTGGGTGCCTTAAGTGTGTTGACATGCTGTGATTCTACCCGAACTGCACTCTTGTTGGGAAGAATGGTCAGGCAGACTTGGTCCCTTTGCGTTGCAGCATGGGGCTCGCTGGACAGCCCTTGGCAGTGTGTCATGAGGGCGGTTGGCGCTTACTAGGCGAAGATTGAGTCGTGATGCATGCTGGTGCGCTTCAATTCTCGTTTTCTCTTTCATATCATACATCAAAATACACGGATTAGAATCTGCCAAGACACCTTTTTTGCAAATGGAACATTGGAGTCCAAAACGGTGTTTTCACATGCTCAAGCAAGTCAATCAAGTTTTTTGCTTGCTTGCTTTTGGTAGGCGATCCTTGCCAGCTGTTTCGAACATCCAGTGGATGCAGGCAGTAGCTCGTTTGTTTCACGGAGTATTTCACCTTGTCAAGTTATTTGGGCAGCTGAAACTGAAGGATACAGATACTCAAGGCCTTGTATCTTCCACCTGACCACCTGATAGGGGAATCTTGTGCAAGCACTCGGTGTTGAAATGTTCAATGGTCACTGGTGAATTTAAGTGCTTCATGCTCGTTTGTGCATGAGGTTAGAGCAGTTGAACCATGGGAGTTCAATCTCGCAAATTGGAGCAGACTTCAACTGTTTTTCAACTGGCACCATGCCACTCCTCCTCCTCCTCGGATCCCATACTCCGGGCTAGCGGCCAGCGGCTAGGTGCAAACGTCAATGGAAGCTTTGCCAGGGGCTCTTGCAGAGTCTTGGCAAGCTACAAGAGACTGGCCTTGGAGGCTGCGGGTGCAAGCACAGGATGTACCATTAGGCATCACAAGGCTACTGTAGTGAATGCCCGCATTGCGCTTGGCCACACTTTCATCAAGCCCGAGGAACAATTGCAAGCTATGGCATGGTTGCCATGACAGAGATGGAAGCAGTTGGTGTGAGGCCCCTGGCTGACTTCTGGTATTGTATTTATGATCTTGCAGTTGATGCAGAATGTTTCAGAACTTTTGAGACAGCGTCGTAAATTAAGCAATGATTTTTGGTCAGATCACTCTTTGTAGAGAGAAGTCCATGTGAAGTGGAAGTGCCCTGGCTACCACATGTATGAATGGTCGCAGAGGTTTGCTTCCGTTGGCAGGTTGAATCTAGTAGCTGTGGACAGACAAGCTGGGACTACTGTGTGGGCCAAAGTGCCCAAGAAGATCCAGAGGAGCGGCAGGGAGTTGACGATATCCATAAGCAGGAACGATAAGAATGAGTCGAGTCCTAATATTGATTGAGTTCTATAGTTGTGCAAAAAAGATCAGAGTATGGCAGTATGTATTCGCACGTATTCCCAGCATAAAGCTGGGTAACTGAAAAAAAAGGTGTGCCAGGGACATCTATTCAGGATGCTTTGTCAGCTTCCATTTGACTGGAATGGCATGCTGGGAATGGTTTTGCTTCCCCTAGGAGTGGTTGTGGAGACTGTGATTTAGATTTGACATGAAAGAGATTACTGTACCAACTTTGGAGGCCATCGCTATTAGGGGGAGGCCATGGCTATTAGGTCGGAGGCCATTGCTTCAAGGTTGGAGACATGAAAGAAATAACTAACTTTGCTCTTATAGAAACTGTCCGTGAAACTGGTGAATCTGACAGCTCAGCCAAGCCGAGAAAGGATTTTAGCTGCACAAAAGCCAGAGACGGCAAGTTTATGTTTTACTAGTGCAGTAAATATTGAAAGGTCTTAATAGAAATTGCACTTGGAAAAGTGCAGGCACCAAATGCGATGATAAAAGGACGCAGACAGAAGCATTCAAAGATGCAAACAATAGGCTAAGCAACTGAATAGTTATCACTCAAAACCGGCTCCATCCAGCTGACACGCTGGAGGATTTGAGCCCAAGACGCCTTGAAGAAGACAGCGTTACGGTTAAGAAAACTGACTGCTTAGCGCGCACAAGACCTGCGTTAATCGTCATTTGTAGGGATACATCTTGCAAGAACCCCCAACACCCGAACTGTTATTCTTGTTCAGCCGCAAATGTTGGTGATATGATCAGTGATAGGCGTACTTAGTTTACTTCAACCAAAATCATGCACCTGTGATTAATCCCTCATGTTTCCGTATCAGGCACCTACGTGCTGCACGAGCGCTGCATTTTCCTGGCAATATCTAGGAAATCTGAAGCTGTCGAGTCTAAGCTTTTTGAATGTGTTTGCACATGGCTTGCTTTTGCCTGCGTTGGCTTGCTGGTCGGCGTTTGCTACCACACCTCAAATGTTTTGGAATGGCTGGATTTGCATGATATGAAGTACAATAAAATGGCTGTGGCCAAACCCACGTCAAACGGGCCGTTCTTGCTGTGGGCCGTGGATCCATTCAGCCGTTGAAGATCCCACAGAGTGGTAACAAGAGAAGCCGGAATGCACTTTCACTTTGTTTGTTTCAATTGACATGGCAGTTGCTCATGGTTTGGGTTTCACAGGTTGACAACATGTAAACAACCATTGCGCCCCGGTAAACTAGCACTATTCTGGAAAGCCTCCACTTGGATCGAAGCTGCGGTTGAGCAAGCTGTGCTTAACCTGCCATTACTTAGAACTGACGACTGTGTATTTAGACATTTCTTTGGCTTCTGTATTCTTCTGTGGTGTTCTTCTAATTTGGTGAATGTTTTCTCGAGGATCAATTCGCCATGCACAGGTCCACTTGCCTTCAGAGACCAAAACAGTGGCTCTCCGCATTGGTCTCCTTGTTACGGCTTCTTGGTCATGCAAAAAAGTTGTTGCGGCATGTCCCCCCCACACCCACACACATAGGAAAGACGCTACTAGGAGCAAAGGGAATCGCTACTAGGAGTAAGGAGGCTACTACGGGCTCCTGGCCTTACTACAAGTAGCAAGGACGCTACTAGGAGCAGC